CCCCCCCTGGCGGCCGCGCCACCCCCTCGGCCTGACTGACAGGGGGCGGGGAGGGTGACATCTCCGCGGAGCCCGCTAGCCTCACGGGGTGGGCCCGGGACGGGCCGCTGGGGACCTCGGAGCGTCAGACTCACGTCCTGGCCCCAAGAGCCCAGTCTGGTGGGGGGAAACAATGTGACGTACTAAGAGTAGGGAAGAAATACCGCAGTTGGTTTTAGAGTTTTAGAGTTCAGATGCGTTTGGATCTGAGCTGTGCTTTTTATAACCTTGGGCAACTCAGCTCTCCTTTGTGAATGCCAGTTTCGTCTTCTGTAAAATATCGATGGTTCATCCAACGAACGTTTATTGAGTGCTTAGACAGGGGTGCCAGGCAGGTTCAAGGCTGAAGATAGTGGAAAAGGAAAACAAAGTCCCTCGATCTAGGGGAGTTTACAATTATGTGTTTGTGTGTGTGCAGAGATGGGACAGAAAATAAACGTGTCAACACTTAAACCAAACAAGGTTATTTCAGCTTGTGGGAAGTGTCATGGAGATGAGAAAATGGAGATGTACCAGTTACTAGACGAGGGTTGCTTGAGATGAAGGGGTCACAGAAGGCCTCTGTGAGGAGGTGAATGGGAGCAGAGACTCCAGATAGGCACCAAGGCCAGGATACTTGAGGGCAAGATTCATAGAGAGGGAACTGCAAGTGCAAAGGTCCTGAGGCAGGACTGTGCTTGGGAACAGATAAAAAGCAATGCAGCTGAAGAACCAGGAAGGAGGCAGACAAGATCCTTTTTTGTGTGGTTATGGTCTGGATTGTCAAAATGGTTATAGAAGTCTAGGCACACAGAGGCCCTTAATTTGGTATATGACCAAATTATACCCAAGAAGTTGTGGGATCCCAGACGAAGGAGACTTCATCTGGCAGACAAGGGAGGAAGGGAAGTTTCAGCTGTGGGTATAGCATGGGCAAAGGCACTGTGGTTGGAAATGCAGAGTATGTAAGTGACAGCTGATGAGGTGAGGCGGCAGCAGGAACCAGACTATGGTGGGCCTGGAAAAAACAGTTCACAGGTTGTTGGTAGAGCTGCAAAATGGCACATGCTGTTTTGAAGACAACTTGGCAATGTTTACCCAAGACATAAATGTATGCTTCTTTGGAGCCAATACTTCCCCTTCCAGGAATTCATCTCTCAGATCTCTGCTCACACAAGTGCACAGAGATGTTTGTGCAATGATGTCCACTACAGCCTGGTTCATTGCAGCAAAAAAATGAAAATGATCTAAATGTTCCTATGTAGAGGACTGACTAGTTAATTGTGGTTCATCCACCCAATGCTATGCTGTGCTGCTGTTAGGATGCGTTAGACCCGTGTGCACTGATATGGGAGTGTCACACGACACGGTGTGAGGTGAGAGGAGCGAGGTGCCAACTGTAATGTGTGGAGCCAATCAATTTTGACACATGAAAACTACATACATGCACGCAGTTATGTACAGACATCTTATATACAGATCTATACATCTGGATATACCAATAACACATCTGCAAGGACTCCCAAAAAACTGTTAACAGTAGTTGCCCCCTGGAGAGAAGCTTGTACATTTCATCACCTTCCTTCTTGTGCTGTTTGATTACTTTGCCTTGAATAGTATCTTGTCTAATTGTGAAAGCTAGCATGGGGGACATCTGTCATTAGTGTTGGCCTCTCAGCATTGGAACAGCCTCTTTCCTATGTTTGGGGGATGCCCCAATTTATGAAGAAGAGCCATCTCCCCCTCCAGGAGCTGCCAATGCTTTCCCAGCTTTCCTTGCAGCCAGGACATGTGACCTCAGCCCCAGACATCTCAGCCTCAGACTTGGAACTAGAAGCTAGTGCCAGGAAGTAGGAGGGAAGGAGGGGAGTCTGCTCTGGAGAGGACAGGTGGTGGTGATGGTGGCAGCTGCAGCCAGGGACCACGGGCAGCAGTGACACTGCTTCTGGGGGCATCTGGAACCAACAAGGCAAGCTGTGCTGTCTATGCCCAGCCGTAGCATCCGGGGACTCTTCCTGGGCCTTTTGACAATGTGAATTTCCAGGCTGCATGCTCTCCAAGGGGACTCTGGCCTTCCAGAAGAGTTCCTGAGCTGCCCACAATTGGATAATAAACTCCTTATCTGTTTAAATTTTCAGCCAGAAGTAATTTTTGTGACTCTCAACTAAGATCCCCTGAATGTCAGATGAGGCAGGACCAAACAGGAGGGGAGAGAGAGGAAAAAGACCATACAGATGGTGTCTGTACTTCCTATTGTAGGATTTGGGTTTTAAGCACAAGAGAGACCTAAATGAGATTTGCATTTCATGGGACCAAATGGAGATGGGTTGGAGGGGGACACTGCTAGAAGCAGCAAAATCAGTGAGGAGGCTGGGGCAGAATCCACAGGAGGAATGTCGAAACTGATCCAGGGAAGCCTCGGTGAGGCTGGTACAGGATTGGAGGGGAGACTCGAGCATCACTTACAAGGTAACTTACTAGATGTTGGGGAAGAGGGAGAGCGACAAGTCCAGGAAGATTCTCAGGTTTCTGGCTTGGACAGCAGGGTGAGCGATGTTGCTGCAAGAAGAAACAGGCATTGAGGTGGGGCAGGTTTGGGGTGATGGTGAGTTTGTTCAGGGCACACGGAATGAGCAGTGCCTGACAGTCGAGCTGCATGAGATGTCCAGCAGATAGTCAGATATTTGAGCCCAGAGTTCAAGAAGTCACCCAGGCTGGCTTCAGGTATAGACATGGGCCATGGTGTCCTGGGAAATCTTTACACATGGCTTTCCCAGCAAGGAAGCACCGTTATTTGTAGAGCTTGCCCAAACCTGCGATGGAAACTCTCCTGCTGCGGTTGATTTCGAGTGGTCACTGTGACGTCTCTGAGCAGAGACTTGGGAAGAGATATGTGGTAGGACTCCCTTAATCAGCATCTTCACCATACACATAAGATAGGTAAAAATAATCTTAAGCGCATAGACAGTAGTAAAATAATCAGGATGTTATGTTTTGAGGGCTTATGACGTTTGTTTTCAGTATAATTCATACAATCATAGGTTTATATAATTTAATTTTTAATATTGGCTTTAACACCTGGCTCACAAAATTCCTGAAACTTTGTTCTTATCAGCTGGTCCAGGCGAGCCCAGTTCACCCCTGGATTTGGAGTCATTTGCAGAGAGGTGGTGGCTGAAGCCATGGGGATGATGCAATTACCCGGGGGAACGTGGAGAGTGAAAAGAAAAGAGGGTCTGGAAGAGATTCCTCAGGAACAGCAAGCTTCTTTTTTTCTTTTCTTTTCCTTTTAATACCTTTATTGTGGTATGGTTCCTGTGCAGTAAACTACACATATTTCAGATGGACAATTTGATGAACTTTGATAGATGTCTACACTCATGGTACCACCACCACAATCAAGAGAGCTAATATTTCCATCACTCCCGAAGAAGTGCAATTTTTGAACTCCCAATTTATCCCTTCCCTTTAACCTCCAGTAACCAGAAGTTTGTTCTCTGTTTGAGTCTGTTTCCGTTTGTAAATAAATTCATTTGTGTCCTTTTTTAAGATTCCACGTGTAAGCAATATCATTTGGCATTTTCTTTCTCTTTCTGCCTTACTTCACTTCAAATGACATTCTCCAGGCCCATCCACGTTGCTGCAAATGGCATTATTTTATTCTTTTTCATGGTTGAGTAGTATCCCATTGTATATATACACCACATCTTCTTTATCCAGGCATCTGTCAATGGACATTTGTGTTGCTTCCATGTCTTGGCTATTGTAAATAGTGCTGCTGTGAACAATGGGAA